GGAACATCTGGACCTCTTCTGCTGACCACAATGCTGCCATTTCAGGTGTCTTTTTTTTTTTTTTTGCAGTGGTATAAAACCGGTTTAGTCATGCAAACCAAAAATACAGCTGTGGCTGCTGCTCTCTATTTAAATAAAGGGAATTTGACAATTCTCTCTGACCAATTGGTGTTCAGCAGTGTGTATACATCTTGCTTTAGTAATAGTACTGTAATGTAAACCTATAACTCTGTACTATGTATTAGATCAGTGGTTCCTTAAGTCCTAGGACAATGGCAGGGGGTCTCTTGGTAATTAAAACTTTCAATTTATTTGATTTCAATTCAAATAAGTTTTATTAAACGATTAGAATTACAATATTTCATCCATAACCCACAGAAGATAAAAAATAGTAGTTTTTAATAGTAAAAAACAACTAAATGCAAATGGAAAGCCATCAGCCTTTAAATTATTGTTTTCATGGGTTTGGTGTGTTTATGTTAGATTAACAACACAGTAAAAGCGTCAGCTGCAGCAGATTGATTTTTATAGCACCAGGTTAAACTTTCTAAGACTTTTATGGCAATCAAATACATAAAAAAATAAATACATGCCACAACCGAACATTGAGAATGATCTCTGATTGGGCTCTCCAAAATTAAACCAAGATTAGACTTGTGCTGAAAACATTGTGTCCACCAGTCTCTATAGTTGAGGTTAATATTAAATTAAACAAATATATAAATGACTATAAAAATGATATGGTTGTTAGACTGTTGCACGTTTTTGTGTTGTCAATGTGCTTGTGTTTAGGCCTATTTTAATTTGCTCAACGTGTACATATGTATATGTATGTATACCTAAGAGAAATTTGGGGGTCACGAGTCACTGGCATTGTAATTTTAGGGGTTGCAGGTTGAAAAGTTTGGGAACCCCTGTACTAGAACATAGGTACAGAACACAGTGAAAAAGACCCTAAAAAATTATCCATGCTATACCAAACCACACCATACCATACATTAGAAAAACACCTCATTAATGATCTGAAGTGTGTCAGAAAAGGGTGACATACAAAATCTCTCACAGTTGGCAACAAAAAGCAATCAAAACATGAACATTTATCAGCACATGCAGTATAAAGAATGTGCACTAAGATGCTAATAAAATTTCAGACATTTGTAACCAAAGCTACTCAGTACTGTGTTTATATATAAAGTTTATGCCGGAATAGTTGGCGATTCATTGCACTGTGGTGACCTCTGAAGAAGAGACTAAACCGAAGGAAAATGAATGAATGAATATTACCAAAGCATTACAAGTGAAGTAGATAACTGGAAGATTCTTGGTTTTTATACCCTTGTGAGTTTGTTCTGACAGTGTTTCAAGTTAATGTTTCTAAAATTATAATTATATTATTATTTAATTAATAAATAATAAAATGACCAAAAAGTACTACTAAATTACATAAAGTGCTTGTCACATTACCGAAATGACTTACCGGTTAAGTCTCCTACCAGCAGTTTTATCCATCTGTAGCTAATTAAGGGTGCCACTATTGACCAGAGCAGTACAATCATACAATTCTCTAAGACAGATAGTCCAGCCCAAATGAAAACTTACTGAGACTACAAAAGAGCAAAGTACACTGCGTATTAGCAACACAAAAGCACAAAACAATCTCTGCACACATTAAAGACAACACATAACCCCAAAATGTCACAACACAGAATGATCACGCACCACGATGACAGATACTAAACCGCACCATAAACCAAAACAATGCAGGAGCGTCTGCCAGATGAGATGATTCTTGACTGCTCTACAGCTACAGGAAACCAAACCCACTTTAAAAGCTACAAATGTAACGAGATCTGATTATTCTGCCGCACTTCCTGGGGTCATATATACACGGAAAACTCGATGCGCTTGTTTTCAAACGATGGGAATCAATTTTTCACACTTGGCAGAAATGATTGGAAGCGTTTAGGGTTTGGAAAAGTGGAAGACATCGATGATGTACTGGAAGGGGAAGTTACTTTGCGGTGGGATGCCATTTAGTTACTTTCCTGCATCCAACAATCTCTTCCCACCCTTTATCACACCCTTCTGCAACTCCATCTCTTTCTCTCACACCCTTCCCCCCACCGTCTCTCTCTCTCTCTCTCTCTCTCTTTCTGATCCATTTTTCATGCTTCAATCTATTTTCTCTCCTCCATTTGCTATGGTTTACTGTAACTTGTCCCCCTCCCCGTGCCATTCTGCAAGTGCATTACGAGATTCTCTCTCTTTCGGTGTCCTTCTCTTTCTCCGTCTCTCTCTGCCATATTATCTATTCCTCTCATCCCTGCTCACGTAGTCTTTTATCTCTCTCATGGGCCATCCATCTCTCTCTCCATCTCTCTCCTATTAAACACCACCCCTCAATTAATCTGCTCTCCATCCCTCTGTTTAAGGTTATAGCCCAATCTCTCTCTCTCTCTCTGTCCCTCTCTGCAGTAATTGCTTGTGTGATCCATGATACATACCCGCTGTCCCTCAAAAAGCAGTTTTTGTTAACTAGATTGCAGCACTGAGTCATAACACACACACACACAAGCACCACAAAAGGCAACAGAGATATTTAAACTTTTATTATGTTTCATTTTTTATCCTGCTTTAAATACAGTCAGGTTGAAGCAACTACTAAAACCCACATTTTCTCTTTTTTTAAGTTCGTCCCCCAACATTTTTTTGGGGGGGAAATAAAAATGAGCTTTGTTCTGAGATTGTTATGACAACACGTTTTTATGTCATCGATTTCCTCCAGTTTCCACCACAGTCCAAAGACATGCACTAAGGGTGAATTGAATAAACTAAATTGGGCGTAGTTTATGAGTGTGTGTGTGTAAATGAGTGTGTATGGTCTTTACTGGATTGTGGCTTGAAGTAGGCATGTCATGACTTCTATTTTTTGTTGTACGATATTATGCACCAAAATATATTGCGACAAACGATATTATTGTCATTTCAAGACCAGATTTTTATGCCACTCATTATATAATCAATAATATCAGGCATTGGAATCAGAATGTGAAAATGTATATCCTTAACAAATAAATAGTAATTAATGATAACAAAAAGTGCAATTTAAAAAGTAACAGAGGCTGCAATATCTGCCACCAGATCTATTTTCAGTTCTTAAACACACAAATTAATATACTATGGTAAGTTATAGTAAATACTATAGTATTTTTTTTAACTATACTGACACTGATACCTCCAACAGAGATAGAAATGTTGCACAATCAGCTAAAATGTTGCCTCAATTGTTTTTTATGTATGGGCGATATATATTGCATCACCAAAAATTATTGACGTCATGACCATGTGCTGTGTGATAAGTGTTATATTGATTATTGTGAGAGGCCTAGCTGGAAGGGCATCCGCTGTGTGAGAACAGAAGTCGGTTCATTTTACTGTGTTCGCGCTCTGGCGCAGCCTTTGCGTGGTCACATACCCCTCGCTGTGGCTGAGGCCGATGCTCACCCCTCAAAAAATATTACTACACATTACAATGACACGTAGCACAAGCTCTGTTATTGGTCAACTTGGTGACTATGGGTGGGGGTGAGAGCTGCGCGAACCCGTTGGAGCGGGTGTTTTACAAGTGTGAAGTCCCGTAAAGTAGCTCCAGAGGGAAACTTTTGTTTTGTGATTACCTTATGAATAAAAATGTTGCACGTCTGCCGGTTCCCACCTCTGAATGAGTTAGCTTTAGCTACTTCTTCATTAAGGTAGCATTCAGAAAAGACAAAACACCAGTGAAGAAACTCGACACAGAAGAACATAAAAACCTACTGCCAGCTAGTGTTTTGGAAGTGTTATTGCAGAGCAACACAAACAGCACACAGAAGTATAATGGACGAGTACGTGCAAGGTATGCGCCGTGAGTCACGGCGATCACTCTACGCAGAAGTATTGACCTTATTCTAAAATGCGGAAGTGCGCCTGTTTTCGCGATTGTCTTAGAACTTCCGATTCAGTCGCCTATGGGAGAAATGACTAGGACTAATAAACAGAAAATGGTCAAACTACTTGCTCTACAAACAAATATTTGCATGACTACACAGACCAAGTAGAATAATATAATAAGAAAATATCAAATTGCAACATCAAGCAGCGTAATGAGCAGTTTTTAACGTCAAAAAATGAATGGAAGTGAATGAGACCGGAAGTCGCGAGACAAAAAGATTCAAATGCCAGCGCCCGCTCGTCGGCGGAGAATAAGGTGAATAAACCAGGCTTAAGCCAGGCTTTTTTTTTTGTCAATTTAAGTAATTTTTATTTAAATAAGTTAACTGTGTTTTAACTTAATTTATTAAGTCATAAGAGATTTTTCTTGATGTTTTAGGTCAGAATAATTAACTGTAAGTTACCTAATTATTACAGTACATGTATTATCTTTAAAGTAAAGGGGGTTAATGAGTTAATACTTTAACTAGAATACTTTAAACTGGGAAAAGGTGACAGTAAAGACATTTATAAGGTTATTGAGGGTTTCTATTCTGTTGCTTTGAACTTTATAATCAAACAATTCTGAAAAATAATTGTTTACAAAAAAACCTTGGTGAAATTAGAAGATATTACAGGAGCATGAAATTAGACTGGACATTAGACTGGACCAAAGACTTTAAAATTGTTTTTTAATTGAATAAAAATTCATTCATTCATTTTCATTCGGCTTAGTCCCTTTAATTATCAGAGGTCCCAAAGTGAAATGAATCACCAATTTATCCAGTAAATGTTTTACACTGCGAATGCCCTTCCACCTCTAACCCAGTATTGGGAAACACCCATGCACTCTCACATGCACACACATACACTACGGCTAATTTAGCCTGGACTGTGGGGGAAACTGGAGCACCTGGAGGAAACCCACGCGAACACGGGGAGAACATGCAAACTCCAAACAGAAATGCCAAATGACCCAGCTGAGTCTCAAAGTAGCGACCTTCTTGCTGTGAGGCGACATTACTAACCACTGAGCCACCGTGTCGCCTGAATTAATATAAAAAAAATTAATAGAAAACAGATATGTTAAATTGTAAAACTATGTCAAATATTACTGTTTACATCTTGTAAGCAATTAAATAAAGGCACTTTTTTCCCCAAATACCACATGGATGTTATATCATCCAATTAAATGTATACGATTTAAATATTTTTTAAAAAATTAGATGTTCATAATCAGCAGTGGACTAGATCAGGATTATGTTCCATCATGTCTTCAAATGACATTTCCACCCAAATATACAGACATATACACATAAATTCAGAGATTGTTGTCTTGAACCGGACACAGCTTTGGAGAGCCCATCTTCATGGCTGTAGCAGAGAAACAAAATAGGAACACAGTGATATGTGTGTGTGTGTGTGTGTGTGTGTGTGTGTGTGTGTGTGTTTGCACATGCTTACACATGAGAAGCTCATATTCAGAAACAAATATTGACTTACACATGAAATCCTGAAACCAGCGCTCTGACCGCTTCACCAGACAGGATGTCCACTCCCTCAGGGTCACCTTCTTATTCTGGTTCTTGTCACATGACCTGCGCACACACATAAGTGTGTTGTTGAAATCTACAAGTGGACTGCTTCGCTTTCGTGTTTTTGATTTCTTCATCCCTCTATGTCTCTCTCTCCGAAGCCATCAGCCGTAAAGGACACTACTCACATTAGAACAGTAGGAAGGCAATAAGCATTCAGAGCTATGAATGAGAGTGAGTGATGGAGAGAACGAGCGAGAGATTGAAAGAGGATGAGAGAGAGGAGTGGGTGACATCCTGAAGGCATGTGTACTATAATCAGACGGATGCTGGGGAGGGTTTGCGGGAATATTATGCAAATACAGAGAAGGTCAGACAGGAGAAAGCATTACAAAAAAATCACAGTGGCGATGTGATTGTGTGTGTCGTTATCTTTGTGTGGGGTTACTGGAAAAATCTTTGAGCGCAGTGCTCCAGCGGCATCCGCTTATAGTGCAGCTTTCTCAGATCCCTCCTGCTTAACTTTCCATCCCTGTTACGATCCAGCAGAACAAACCTCCTCTGAAAAAGTAAAGCAGACAAAAGATCGGGACTTTTGTTACAAATTTATAACTTTATAAAAAAGAGGAAGTTTTATTTTATTTATTTATTTATTTATTCATTCATTTATATATAGATCATTTTGAGAGATCATTTTGTCAAAGGTCCCAACGTATTTCCCGTTTCACATTTTTTATATTAAAAATATAAAAAAATTATTAAAATTTTTAATCCTTAAGCTTTTGAGAATCCAAATAGAGCCACAAATTGATAATTTTATGATAGCTGTTTTAACATGAAGTTATGATTTAATTGTCGCTTATTACGGTTATGAAATAGTTTGATAAAAATCAGGAAATGTTCATGGGCCAATGACATCACCACATTGAAATGGTCTATAGGCGCTCAATTTGGTGACTGATTAGAAATAATATTAAGTAGAAAATCATATTTGCTGTTTCTGAAATAGGTTTGAAACTTTTCAAGAGTTATTCTTAAACCAACACAATCACATTCAATGCACTAAACATACACATAATATATACAATGTAACATAATAACAGAATATCATAGGCTGGTTTCACATGTGTTCAATGATAAAAGGGCAGATGGAGGGCAGGAAGTGATTTTTCTACATAGGAATCACTATCAGAACATCAAAATGTTTATTTTTTGTGTTTTTCATAATTGTTTAAATAGGGCATAATGAGAATGCTATGCAAACGCGATAATTTGTTTGACAAAACCAATAAAGATTATATACAGGCCTGTGTATAAATATGTTAATGTGTAATATAAAAATCAGATACAAACACCTCCACATTTATACAAATCCAGAAGAATAAAAATAACGTACTCTGCAGTGCAACCAGTGCAATGAATTCTCCGTCTTGTTTAACAATAATCCAAGTCTTTACTGGTGTTTTGGCAGAATAAACAACTATAACATGAATGTCTATATGTAAAGAAGCATTGAATGTTGCGATGTGTAGTTACAATTTTTGAGAAGTGTTCGTCAGCGTCGCCACGGCCACGGCGAGGGCTATGCATCCATGTGTAGGCTACGCCGGAGCATACGTGTGCACTCGACGCAGGAGGAAAAAATCAACCTTAACTCACTGACTGACCAACCGACCAATGCCCCCACCCTCCCCCTTCTCTAAACCCAACCAATAGTATTTTGAAAAGTACCTATTAACCCGCCCACCACCTTCTCTAAACCAAACCGCAATTCACAAAAAGAAAAGCCCTCGTCTGATTTTTACCAGGTTTTAAGATTTTAGCACATTCTCACCCTGTTATTTACTTGTTTATTTTATTTTTTTGGATTGTGTTTTTGTGTTACCTGCTGTCTGGAACCATTCCTCCCTGGCTCTGGCTACATAATTAGTGATCTCCAGAAACGTATATATAGGGCTATGTTTTAAGCCCATGTTGGTTATTATTGTGGAGGACCCCTGACATGAATAAATAAATAATAATGTAGACTATGCGTAGAGTATGCTTTCATCTGCTATTTTGTGATGTCTGGAAGATATCCGCATGGTGGAAAAAACTATAGTAATTTATAATAAAAAATGTTTTTGAACCACATAGTAATCCCTCCTATTCAGTTTTTTTTTTACTTCCAGCCCTCCATCTGAATTTCGCATGTCACCAGAACCTCAAAATGGCAAACAATCTATAAGAAAGTAGTTGAGTAGTGTGTGTTAATATTTTGTTTTTATATCCTTGTGGGGACTTGAACCTGAATGCACACAGATTAAACAATAATTGTGTCACCGTGTGGACTTCAATGTACGTATTCACTTATATACATGCTTATTACTCGTATAGGATGACTTAGTTTTTAAATATGCAGATTATTTCCCGCAATGGTTGGGTTTAGGGGTAATGTTGGGTGATAGAATATACAGTAGAAATACTGTTTATCAGAGTCTCCACTGCAACATAAGAACAAATGTGTGCGTGCACCTAGAATTCTCTACATTGTGGAGACAAATGTGCCTTCAAGTATAGTTAATATTAAGAACTGTATGACCTTATGGGGACATATTGTGGGTCCAAATGAGAGAAAAAATTTTATAAAGAATGCAGTATATATAAATGGTTTGATGTGGTTTCTGTGAGGACTGTCTAGGACTAGTGTTTATAAACATCATTACATCTAATATCGAAGATTCCCCCAAAGATGGTTATACAAGTGTGTACTGCACGTGTGATAGTGTGTACAAGTGAATATTCCTGCATCTAAGTTACTGTGGTGAGTTTTGTGTGTTTGTGTCACCTGTGCGAGCTGCATTCGCTGTGTGTGTGAGAGGCAGCTTTGTGATGGTGCTGCTGGTGTGTATCTCTCTCCCATTCGGCTGAGGAGTAAGAACCAGTCCAGCAGACGGTATGGGAACTGCCCGAACTCTTCCTCAGAGCATCCAGTCTCACTTACTGAAAGAAAATCACAGTTTATTAGCTTACGCATTACTGGTGGATGCTCGTGTAAGTGGGTATTTGTCTTTATACCGAGACAAGCTCCATTATGTGCCTTGCCAATGCGTCGTTTTTTGCGGCAGGCCTCTTTGTGGAGAAGACACTCGTTGCTGTACGTCTTTCCCAAAACGCTGCACACTGGTGCCCTCTGCCTGCAGCAAACAAAACAACACATACACACATCACCAAGTGCTCATGTTCTGAATTAGGGACAGCAGGTAATTACTGTATATATAAATGTGTAAAAATAGCCGTTTTATTCCTTTTCTTTTGCAATGAGAGAAAATGCTCCTCCTAATATCGTTTGATGTTGACATCACAGGCCACGCTGGCTATGTCATACTCTGGCATGAATTCATCTGTCAGTTTATGAAAGCAGATGCCAAATTAGGCAGATGCCATCATGCACAAACACTAGAAAAAAGAAAACAAAGACACACAATTCCCTTGTAGAGATAAAAATAGGCCTAGTAGAGAAAAAAAACTGCCAAACACAAAGTGTGAGTTATTGGCATGAAACTATGAAAAGAGAAATTTCGAAAAGAAAATGGTAACTTTAACATCTATTCATTCATATTCCTTTCGGCTTAGTCTCTTTATTAATCAAGGGTCACCACAGTGGAATGAACTACCAACTTATCCATGTCTACACAGCGGATGCCCCTCCAGCTACAACCCAGTACTGGGAAACACCCATACACTCTCATTAACATACATACACTACAGCCATTTTAGTTTATTCAATTCACCTAAAGTGCATGTCTCTGGACTCTGGGGGAAAACCCACACCAACACATGGAAACAAGCAAACTCCACACAGTAATGCCACATGGGGGAAAAGCGGGACAGAGTGCGGGAGTAAAGGCCAACATTCCCTCCCAACCCCACTCTTCACTTTTGCAGGTCTCCAGTAACCCGTCTTCACTTTATGGGCCCAGGCCCACTGAACATTTTTCTGCATATGGCCCAAAATTACTGGCTACACCCTTGCTTATAATAATATGTTTTGCATGATAATCGACCACAAAGATTATGAGAAGTGAAATACTGTAATGAAACCATTATAAGAGACCTATAGAAATAAAAATGGTCAGTTATGGGTTCCATTGTTATGCTTATGCCATTCAAGTTCAGTAATATTAATATGTTTTTGTATTTTAGATTGAGATTTTTTTAAACTATTTATATAATAATATTTGGTACGGTAATGGATCACCAATTGGTGTAGAATATAGTAAATCTAGCTATACTGTATATTAAAATGTTTGAGTAAAAAAATCAATGCCTTTCAAGGAAGTATGTTTCAATGTAACATTTTTGAACTGCATCAGCATTTTTCAGTCTTCAAACACATCTTTTCTGCATGTGGCCTTTATCTGCATTAAAGTGCACAGAGCGAATATAACAGTAGTTAAATATCTGGGCTGCTGGTTTGATTCCAAGGAGTCTGCGGGCCGTAAAGAGCGTGTTACGTCATTATTCTGTTCTTAATCATGACACTGAGCTCTGAGCTGTGCTGTTCATGCCGCTGGCTCACTGTACAGTAAGAAGCTTCGCTCTGAAATCAGCTCAGGTGTCTTAGGAAAATTGTTATTCATTTGTTGGTGTGTGTGTGTGTGTGTGTGTGTGTGTGTGTGTGTGTGTGTGTGTGTGTGTTTGTCTTACCGTGGGCAGGTACTTGGACACACACATTTAGGGGTGAGAACTCCCTCCTCCTTCACTACTTGGCACCAGGAACCGATAGGACTGTGACATTTCAACAACTGGCACAGGGATTCTGAAGAGAAGACAAAGACACATAAGAATATATATAGAGAGTTTAATAGTGAAAAAGGAAGATGCAGCTTTTTATACTTAATAAATGAAGAACAAAGTCATTACTTAAGAATAGAGTGGAATAATTCAGGCTCACCTGGGTCTACTCTGCCTAAATATGGCCTTAACTTCTCTTCAGCCTGCCGCTGTTTACGCTGAGCTCTTCCACCCTTACAGAGTAAACATACAACATGGTCATTTGCATGTTTTGTCACATAGTGTGTCTCTTATATCATTACTTTTCAGGTGTTCACTGCATGTGCATGTCCTAGAAGGATTTTTCAAGATAAACACAGTCTTGTCAGATGTTTGATATGAGCCTGAAGTGTATTATTACGTCTGTATTTATTGGAGCCAATATGCAGTGATATTATGAAATATTGCAGTTTAAGTCCTTCTAATATGCTGATTAGCTGCTCAAGAAACATTTATATAGTGAAAAGAGACCTAACTTTTTTCAAAGGGTATTGAAATCCCTCCAGAATTTATAGATGAATGTCCAAAAATTTTTGTAAACATTATTTTTGGTAACATTAATGTCTATACTATGAGTGAGTTGAGTGAGTGAGTGAGTGAGTGAGTGATTGAATGAATTGAAGTATTTTAGCATGTTATGTCCTGAGTGTCCTGTCTCAAATTAAATGAAGTTAAACTTTTTAGTCTGCATGAAAAGTACTTGTCTAGAACGACTCCTAAATATCAATCAATGAATGTATTAAAGGGTTAGTTCACCCAAAATTAAAAATCATGTTATTATTTACTAAGTGGTTTAATCTGATAATTATCAAGTTATGAGAATACTTTTCTGCAAATATAAAATGAAAAAAAAAACTACTTTATTCAACAGTTTCATCTCCACAGTGTCAGTTTAGGGCATGCATGTTATGTGTATTACTTTGGATGCGCATTGATTTATTTGACTACTTTGAGCATACATGCTTTTGTGAATATGCACCCTATACTGACACTGAGGAAAAAAACTGTTGAATAAACCTTTTTATTCTTGTTTTTTGTCCGCACAAAAGTTTTCTTATAGCTTGATAATGTAATGATTGAACCATATAAGGCAGAGGTGTCCAAACTCAGTCCTGAGGGCTGGTGTACTGCATAGTTTAGCTCCAACTTACTTCAACACACCTCCCTGGATGTTTCTAGTATACCTAGAAAGAGCTTGATTAGCTGCTTGGAACCAAAATACAAAGGTCTGAATCAAGATGTTTGTAATGACATGAGGGTGATTAATTAATAGCATAACTTAATTTTTTTGGGGGGTGAACTAACACTTTAACATCAAATACTGTACCACCTATTGATAAAATCTTTTATCATAAACTTCTGCAAGCAAGGTAGGGCCTGAAGCACCCAGTCCTGGCCTATCTGGCAAGCAATAAAGGGAAATTCTTAGTTATATGCTGTCTGTTCAATTGACTGCTTTTATGGTAAACAACCAGTTGTTAATCATTTTTCAATTGTCTCAATTTTTTTCCCTTTTCTTGATCTTGGCAGAGTTATTGAGCATTTTAGGACTTGATGGATGGGAGGCATATTGCGACAGCATGTGTGCAAGAATATCTTTAAAGGGAGTGGGAGAAAGACATGTAGAAGAGCAAAATGTGCACATTTATGTAGTCTGTTAACCATTAAAGCACAGTAAGTGTGAAAGAGTCCTGCTTTCACTTTTTGCACTCACTGGGAACATTACCTATCTCTTTTGTACTTGAAGTCTTTTGTACAAATAGTATTCTATATAATATTTTTTCTGTTAAATCAAATCACAGTAATGCCACATTTAAGTGCCAGTAGATGGTAATCGTTGACAGATTTTATGAGCGAATTGCTGAATTGTTCATTTAACAAGTTGATTTATTTTAACAGTTGATTCAGACAGTGATGGAAAGAGTACTGAAAAATCATACTTAAGTAAAAACACCATTACTTGTCTAAAAATGCAGTGAAAGTAGAGTAAAAGTATATGATGTGACTAGTACTCAAAGTATGAGTAAAAAGTAGACCTAAGTAGAGTATTACGCTGTAAAAAGCTGATGCATTTACATCTAATTTGTGTGTAAACGTAACATTCTTTAGTGTTTTTAGTTATAGCAGACACATAACATCATAAGTTGTTAATATTAGGTTATATTTAGGTTGTGATGTCAGGTGACGAAGTTCAATGTCTAGCTAAGGACAAGTCTATGTTGATGTCCAATAACGACGTCAAATTACGTTGATATTTGGTTGATTTTAGGCTGTGTTAGAAACCAAAATCCAACATCGAACCAACATCTTAAACCAATGTCATACTGACGTCAAATACTAAGATTTATTTTCAGGTATGGCAACCAAAATCCAACATCTGATAGACGCCATAGTGGTAACGTCACAACGTCAAGCTGTAACATCATTAGACATTGATATTTGGTTGATTTTAGGTTAACCATTGAACATTTTAAGTTGGCCTGACCTTGGGTTCTGATGTCAACCCAATTTTCATTTCCAAACAAAGTGCAACATCCCCATGAAGTTGTGGGTACAATACCAATCTGACATCATGTTGACGTCTTGTGCCTGCTGGGTGTTTAAGGCCATTCCGGTCATCATACAGTAAACATCCGTCATCTTCTCATCAGTGACATACATCTAAACAGTCTCTGGGTCATTGCATGTAAAGGTTTTGGACATCTTCCTGGACACTATTACACTTCCAAACAGTTTGCTGCAATTATAAATTGCCCATGTCTTGAGGAAGTTTATTATGATGCAACAGTAATCAGATTAACCCTAGTAATTAACCAGTAATCAGTAACCCTAATCCCCATAGACAGCAAAAAAAAAAAAAAAAAAAAAAAGTAGTGACTGCAGGTTGAAAGAAAGTATTGGGGTAAAAGTGCCGATACTGCACTAATATGCACTCAAGGGGAAGTAAAAAAGTACACAATTTTAAAACTACTGAGTTAAAGTACTTGGAGTTTTTGTAAATTGTTACTTTACACCTCTGCCAGCAGGTTCACAAAACACTAATTCAAAAACACAGCTGTAGTGTGTTAATAAAATCACTGAAAAAATTAAGTCTTCGCTGTCTCAACTGAATTTTTTAGGTTATAGAATTAACCTGTTGATTTAATGTAAATTCAATAATTTGATGAAAAAAAATAATTCTATAAGTAATTTAAATCACCTTTATAATGTATGTAATTCCACTACAGCAGTTATAATATAACAGTAAAATAAAAACCTTGAATTAATTTCTAATTTCTGACAGGGGCAGTTCACCCAAAAGGAAAATTTACTCATGATTCACTCTCCCTATAATTGTTCCAAATCTTTATAACTTTCTTTCTTCTGTTTCACACAAAAGAAGATTCCATAGTATTATGAGATGAGGTCCATATAGAAAAAAACAAGTTCTGCATACAGTAAGTAATTGATTAATGTTTCCAGCTTTCTTCAAAATATCCCCATTTTTCTTAACCAGAAAAAATAAAGTCAAATAACTTTGAAACGAAGAGTAAACAAGGACAGAGTTCTCTTTTTTTGGTGTACAATCCTTTTAATTCATGTTTTAAGATTTCATTAACTTAATACCATAATGTTCATTTCAAATTGCCATTATTTTAAAGTTGCTTTTCCTAATCATTTCTCATTACAGTTTTAAAAATACAAGCACACTAGCAACATGTTCTCACCATATCAACAGTAAGCCACTTACCATGACGACACCAAGGTGAAGCGTCGCAGTCAAGAAGAACAGTTGAGCGAGCAGCTGCATGGCTCACAGAACGGACGTTGACGGATCTGTAACATTCATTCAACAGGTGCCTTTTTAAAGTTCAAGATCTCACCCAGAATGCACTCAGACATATAAAGTTTTTCCTTCACCAACTAAAACTTCTCAGAATGAGCACGAGTGACTGAAGACTGCATTTAAAATTTAATCAATCTCTCACAAAGATTTCAATCCTCTGTAGGACATCCTAAGAGACATCCTTCATTTCATCAAGAAAACACAGCACTAATGAACACTGCACAAAAGATATGCAGAAAAAAAAACCTTCACGTAAACACATCAGCGCTATCAAATCAACTTTTTATATGTCAAAGAAATCAAAAGTGTAAAATATCATACTTATAAATATGAAGACAACAGTCCCCAAAGCGCAAATCTGGATCAAAGCTGATTCCGTCTGATCGCTCTTCTCTTTAAATAACTCACAGTAGTCTCAGTATTGTGTATAAGCCCCGGAGTGCTCATTAGAAGTGTGTGTGTTTGTGTGTGTGTGTAGAAAGTAGTAGCCCCATCACTGGGAAGTCATTACTGTATGTTACGGCTCAGAGCAGATAGAGTTACACTAACAGAGCAGTCGTACTGACAGAATCACCCTTTCATTCCTTTTGCTTTTTCTTTTAATTGGTGTTGAAATTCTTACCAGACTCTCTATTCTCTTATGATCTCTCCTGCTTCTCTCTCCGTATTCCCTCTCACAATATATGAGGCAGCCACATACCTTTCTTTTTCCTCTGCCCCTCCTTAAGTTGTCTTTTCCCCCCCTTCATCTGCTCTCTTTTTGATAAACCATTTCTACCTTCTCCTCTTACCTGGCACTCCGATCCTCCATTTCCTCTCCTACTTTTCCTGGCTTCACCTGAGAAGTCCTTAATTAGCAATCCATTAACAGCATGGACGCACAGACACTCACTCACCTCCACTTACTGTACACATGGGCTGTGAAAAACATCTAAAGACGCAGTGTGAACCTGAACTCTCTCTCTTTTTTCTCTCCTCCTACTCTGTACTACGTTCATCCATCTGTTTCTTTGGCCTGTAAATCTTTTTGTCTGTGGAAAAATGCCAAGCTCAATGAAAACCAGAGCTCTCTCACTTTCTTTTTATCTCTGTCTCTCTCTCCCTCTCGTGCGCATAAACATGAAATCGAGGGCACTGGGCCGGATGGCATGAGTCAAAAACTATGCTTTGAATTTCAAAACAAAACTGTTGTGTATGTGAACTCACAACATTGCACAAATCTTCGTGGAAAACGGTGTTTACATGTGCATGTTGTTTTTCTGTGAGTCAAGCTTTTGCAGGTGCTGATGAGTCTGAGGTTTCAAACTCGTTTGATTATAGTCGTAGGCAATACATAAATAATTTTCTGAGGTGTCCTGCCGTCTAAAGCATCTGAACTTTGTGCCCTTTGACCTCAACATGAATGAAGTCAGCAGGACAGTTTGTTTGCCATTCATCACTTCTGCTTTTGTTAAATGTGTGGGAGATCTCCCACATGTTGGTTCATATGTTATTAATTTAGCATAAACGGGACAATGGCTCCCGTTATGTGTGCAAAACACAACTGTGCAATGATGGCGCCCTCAGCAGTGGCGCTTAGAGCGAGTCTGTGAAGTAGTTCTATGGCGCCATCTGGTGTTTATTTATAAAAATCGAAGGTGAAATTTAGATGTTAAGTCACATTTAAATATTTAACACTAATTTATAGGGTGTAGATAGTTTCAAAGCTGGGGTAAATGGTGAAATAACAGTGTTGATTTCGCAAGTTCATAAATAATACAGCTTTAATTTAAGATATAAAGTGGCTTTACAGAAAACAATAGTATCATAATTCAGCTCATCATTTCAGTCTTAATTAATTTTAGTTAAAGTCTGCCTGTTTATTTTTCTAGTTTACGTTAAGTACCCAAAACCAGAAAAAGCACATTGAGGGTAAAAATCTCTTTTGCAAGTGCATCCTGGCCAAGATTAGGCTGTATATACAGTTCACATGGGTTTAACAAACAAACAAACAAACAAATAACAGGTAACATCATTCTTCCATCAAAACACACATACAATCAGGCAGATTTTCCCAATAAGCAAAAGAGGCAAGCCGCTTAGGGCCTCAGGAAATTTGGGGGCCCCTAGTAAATACCTAGAATAAATTTATACACGACATCGTTTTCTATCATATTTTGTATGGCGAGGGTCTAACAAATTAAATTTTAATGTAATTATAACATCAACGCAAATTTGTGTTATACTCAGAATCATGGAGCAGTTTAGCAATCAAGTCAGGTAAAGATTCAGTTAAAAAAAAATATATTATTTTCCATTTATTAATTAATTCAAACAAATCACTTAAAATGTGTAGATTCCATTAGGAAAAAATTGAAAAAGGAGATCTAGTGATATAAAAAAAACCCTGCAAAATAAATATATTAAAAATAATTACAAAGGGTGCATTTTAGGACTGTTGGGCCCTTTGGCTAAAACTGCTTAGGGCCCCCAAATCACTAGATCCACCCCTGCATACAACAACAATTAAAAACTATTCAGAACATCTACAGGCCAAAGTTTTAAACTTGAAATCATTTAAAATCTTTTTAAAAGCATGTAGTGAAACCAACTCTTTAAACTGAAACTTTGGAGGTTATTCCTTGTAAAAGGTGCTGCATATTTAATACTTCATTTAAACTTTTTTCCCATTTCAGCACCAGTGGTACAGACAATAAAAAGATTTCCTGAGACTAAAGCCTGTAGTTAGAGACAGTTTTTTTCTTTAACAAATGTAAGTTTGGAGATATGAAGGGAGTAAACCCAGAATAGATTTATAAACAAAGATCTGACAATGCTTGAGCCTACAAGTGGACAAAGCAGACCATCCTACCCGAGTGTACAACACACGATGATGACTGAGGGATTTTAGATTTGTCATAAACCTCAGTGCACCATGGTAAACAGTGTCTAAAGCATGCAAAGATGCATGCATATAATAACATTGCCATAGTCCAATACACACATAAAAGTTGCAGAAACACGCTTCTTTTGGCATCAAAAGGAAGACAAAATTTGATTATAAAATAGAAGCCTAAAATAACTTGCAATTATTTCCCCAGTTGCTGAACATGAGGGCTAAAATAAAAAAATTTAAAAAATAAGATAAAATGTATTTTGAAGAAACGTAACCATTGACTTCCATAACACTTGTTTTTTCTATGGAAGTGTATGGTTACAGGTGTTCAGCTTTCTTCAAAATATCTTCTTTTGTGTTCAACAGAAAAAAAGTTATAAATGTTTGAAAGTAAACTTTTACATTTTGCGTGAACTATCCCTTTAAGTTAATAGGTGAAACATTTCATTGTGGTAATCTTTAAGCAAAGCTGACCATATGCTTCTGTTCTGGAATGGCAGTACTTCTTTAATGGCATCAGTTTGATGGTTGGGGAAAATATGCTTAGCCACACCAAACTGTTTATTTGCTGTGAAAGAAAGATCAAAGAAGGAGTGCAAAAAATAAAAATCCTCATCATCACACTGAAATAAAAGCCTGTAGCAACTTACAGCTTAACCAGATTTTAAATAAATTGGGAGACTTTTTGCCATTTGGGATGGCCAAGGAAAATATCCCACCTGACCTGAATTCACCAGAATCTTTAAATTTATGAAGCAACTTCACTTTTAGCTGTAAAGCAGTGTAACACATGACTTTGGTGTCATTATTTTTCTCAGTTTAGTTAAAAAGAGTTTTTGTGCTTTTATCTACCTGCAGTTAGTTAAAATGTACTTTTCATTAATTGTCTACTGTGGCAACCCTATTTGGCTTCAACAATTTGTAAATGTGGACATTTCACCCTAAAGGGACATTTCAAAAAATGAAGATAAAAATGAAAATTTTCATTTAGTTTGAGTTTCTTTCTTGAGTAAAAAGACATTTTGAAGAATACTGAGAGCGATAGTCAAGGGATTCCGTAGTATTTCCTTTGGATGATGGCTACTGGTTTCCAACATTCTTGAAAATGTATTCTTTATTGCTCAATAGCAAAAAACTGACAAAAGTTTGGAATCAGTTTAGGTTCAGTAAATGGTGAGCAAATGTTCCATTTTTGCACAAACTATACCTTCAAGAACTCAGTTTTGTTTTTTCCCTCACCAAAGAATAGTCATATGTTTTTTCTTCCATCAAATGAATCTGTGTGAATGTAAAGACTACAGAAGCTTTTTCAAAAGAAAAAGTTCTTAAAATTTAAATTAAAATGACATATTTATATATTTAGTGATTTTTTTCTTAAAATATCATCAAAGTATATCATTCTATAGCTCTCTCATTCTCATTGTGCAGCCCTACTGAAGCACTGTTATAGATTTTTGGCAGGACAAAAAGCACAAAAGATTTTGTTGCTGAAGAAGTTGCCAGTTTTATACTTCTACAGTCTACATTTTTTAAAGGCTGAAATCTCTAAGGTTATTCAGCAGATTAAATTTTAACAGCTAGAGCTGAGAGTTTCCCATAGTCTATCAAGGTAGAAGGAAAACTGAATGGTGTAGTAAATTTGGTGAGTCAAGTGTGCACAAGTACACTGGAAATCTTCAGCATGGTGATCCTGACTGGCACACAAATTAACAGAAACTACAAATACACCCACAAGCACGCACGCATGCTTGCACGGTATAAAATAGTGATGTACTGTAAAAGTAGCAGATCTTTTCTTCCATATTGTTATGTTTTTAAATCAAATTACTAAAAAAGAAAATTTAGCAGAAGGACTTCATTGGTTGTCAATTAAGGAAGATCTTAATGCCATCACAGTGTATAAATTGTAGGGTTTAAAGGGATAATTTCCCTTAATTATTTAACTTACCATTTACCTGCCATCAAGTGCTTCCAAACCTTTAAGAGTTTTTTCCTTCTGTTGAACCAAAAATTGAACAAAAAGAAACAAACACAATATATACAGTAATAACTAATGTTGTGTTTAACAGAACAAAGTAAGTCAAACAGATGAATTTGACATTTTGGGTGAAGTATTTCTTTGGAGACGTTCACTATCTAAATGCCACCAGAGACATTTTCAAAGGGACATTTCACTCAAAAAAGCCAAAAAATTCTGTATATTTTTTTCACCAGCAGGCCATTCAAGACATCAACTTGTGAGCCACAGGTTTTGATTCTGTTCAGCCTGTTATTTATTATAATTTTTTTTCATTAAGGACCACGGCTTCAGCTTAAAACCTTTTAAATGGTCTTCTGAAGAAATAATAATTTTAAAAATAAAATAAAATGCATGTATGACTGACGACGCGGTGATGCAGAAGGTAGTGCTGTCGCTTCACTGTAAGAAGGTCGCTGGTTCGAGCCTAAGCTGGGTCAGTTGGCATTTCTGTGTGGAGTTTGCATGTTCTCCCCTTGTTTGCGTAGGTTTCCTCCGGGTGCTCCGGTTTCCCCCACAAGTCCAAAGACATGCGTGACAGGTGAATTGGGTAAACTGAAATTGTCCGTATTATATGTGTGTGAATGAGAGGGTTTCCCAGTGATGGGTTACGGCTGGAAGGGCATTCGCTGTGTAAAACATGTGATAAATTGGCGGTTCAATCCGCTGTGGCGACTCCAGATTAATAAAGGGACTAAGCCGAAAAAAATGAATGAATGAATAAAATACATGCAGTTATAAAATAAATATGGTGTATTTTAATTCAACACCAACTTTGCCACCGAGCCCTCTCCTCCTTTCTTTCTGAGTGAAGTAAGAAACAGGATTCAGGTTTTGCCACAGACACCTGATATTACTGGCACTGTGTTGAAATCCATCCATTAGGCTTTGCCCAGCACTTCACATCTACTATGGTGTGTGTATTAATATCATTGTGTGTATATATGTATATTGATATTAACTTACACAGCCTTTAAAGTAATCTAAATGTTTTCATTTAATTGAAACCAGTTTTGCAATTCATTGACTTAAGCAAAAATATGGAAACTAGGCCCAACACAATCGTATGCCTATATACATGCCTATATAAACAAACTTACAATCCACATCCAATAAGGCAGACAACGTTTGTTTGATATTAAACATAACCATCCTTGCAATTATATAAAACATAATAAACGTTCTACATCACATGTCAACACCGTCATTCAAGTATCGCGCGCGCTCCCGGCAGCTCGTGCACTGTGAATCACGTCCTACGTCACCGAGTCACACTTGCAGCGCGCGTGAGTGAGAGTATGGTCGCTGCTCTCGGTGGGGTTGAGGGAGGTTGTTTGTAGGCGCGGGCCAAAAGCTGAGCGCATGCTTTTTTTTAAACACTAGCGGAAGACCACTAGCTTGCTTTAGCGTCATGAGTAAACCGCTGTTTAGTTCTTTGCTACCGTACGCTTCGCGTTAATTTGGAAGCTGAAGTGAACCGAGCAAGGTGCAGATGAAGAAGAGAGGATGCTGGAATGAGTGACGAAACACAGCAAACATCATGATGGAGTCTCACTTCACCACAGCATCACTGTGTTCCCGCTGCTTTCGCGCTTTAAAGTCGCAGTTTGTAACGCTGAATTTCGATATTTAAGAAGGAGTATTGTTTGCTTTCGTGCTGCTCGTGAAGCCGTTGTTTTGTTTGTGTTGGTAGTTTTAATCGATGCTCTGGAATAATCGCGCTGAGTAAGAGGAAGCCTTTCCTGGTTGATATAATTAACGTGCTTACTGCATAGGGTACATTTCGCTCGTTCATTGTCTACTGTATAATGTTGTATATAAAATAAGTAAGCTGACTACTCGAGCCATGGACTGTGTTAAAATACTAGTTAAAGTTGAACGTGGACTCTTGAGCTTTGACGTTGACATCATGGATAGACGCGGCTGATTTTCATCGAACAGGTGAGTCACATGAGCCAACGTTAATCTAGTGTTTATGTGCACTCTTACAGGGATGGGAGGAGAAGGAATCTATGTTTTAATTCGTGTTCTTTACCTGTTTTACTAACTATTCTGTTAGCATGTTTTCCTAAAAAAAATAATTTGAGTAGAATCAGGGGCGGACTTGATGATTTGGGGGCCCTGAGCAATTCCATGTATAGGGCCCTAGCATTGAAACAAAAAAGATATTTGTTTTCTCTCTAGATAATTTTTAAAAATATATATATTTAAAGTGGAACCTTCTTAAACTTAAAATCTCAATACAATATATTTACAAATAAAAAACAAGCTCACAAACTATGTACAGTTAATTAGCCATACTTACGATTTGTGATTAGATTTTAATATTTGCATGTGCAGTATGATATGGAAGGATTGTTCCACTATTCATGGGACCCGTGGATTTAGAAAAGAAATAATAATGTCAACATTTTAATGGTTTTAGACAAATTTTACAACACATGATAGAAAAATTATAAAATAGCTTCAGAATGATTAATATAGGCTTCTTGGCATTGTTGGCACTGTTTTTCCAGGGCCCTAAGCAATGAAAGAATGACATTGAAGCGTTGTCTGATTGACAAGCAGCAGCTACATGTGTTCAAAAGAATCTAAAACTCTAATTAGGATGAATCTATGCCAATTTTTCTGAAGTAATACAATCTGTATCTAGCTTTTCGCTTGTACGGTGGCTCTGAACTGTTAAAACACCTTTAAAAAAAAGAGGCTTTTTCGGACATGACATATTTGTACACATGCACATCACTGTAACATTTTTTATTCAAGAACATTTGAGCTGGTTTTAGTCCTTAGCTCTTTCATTTTCATTTTGTTTAAAATATATTGAACTTGCTTGTTAATTCATTCCCAATTTGTTATTTAACCTATTTATTTTTATGCAACAGTCAAGTTGCATGTTAATTTGCTATAAAGAAAAGGAAATAATTTTGTTTGTGCATGCTGATTTACGTGAAATCGTGAAAATAGGTCTATATAATCACCTTGCAATTTTGAAATTATTGCTTTTTGCTTTGAGTGTAGACTATTCAGTTCATAAGAGCAGTTCAATCTTTTATGAAGTTTGCTGTTTGCTGCCTATATACATTAGCTATCGGCATCCAAGTCTGAAGAGTTATATCCGCCAAAAAATTTATATATGTGCATCCTTAACCTCACTTATTAGTAAAGTCCACCCCTGTGTAGAATAACATTAAAAATCCAATCACCATTGCGTTAAATGCTCTCAGCACTGTTACAAAATGTAGCACATCACGCAGTTATTTTTAATAATGCTAAAAGAATAAAATAGTTTGCCATTCATTTATGTAAAGTGAGTCAGGTACTTCTCAGACTGATTCACTGCTAGAAGGTCAGAAAATAACCTTATGATTCATTTCTTCCACCTAACGTATTTCGACAGAAATCGTGCCATACTTGTGTATTTATATATGTGTACTTTATTTAAGTACACTTAACAATTACAGTTAAGCATTATATTTAAAAAAAAAACCCATCTAAATATTGGTTAGTAAGTGTTCATTAAAGGGATTGTCAGCCTATTTCTCTAGAATAGCAGTGCAGGAAATAGAGTAATTTATGATGTTCTGCATTTGCAAAAGAAAGCTAATAAGGTAATTTATTGAGTCCAATATTTTACAAATAAATCATTAAATTATATAACAAATTAGGGTTGGGCCGATAAACAATATTTTATCGAATCGCAATAAAATTTATGTCATTAACAATCATAAGCTCTGGACTTTTTTACTCTATATTGATCTAAGACCCAATCACGCAACAGAAATGTGCAACAATGGGAATCTTAAAAGTGTGTTGATATTAGAGGTGTACCGAGTTTTTGGCTGCCAAAAATGTTTTGTTCGAAAAAATGTTATTTAATTGACCCTCTAATTTTTGTGCCTTCAGCCATTCTCGGTTTACTCTTTTACATCTTGAGGCATTAACAACTTATATTGAAATATATATTGTTATTGTTCAATATATCACTAGGGCCAGACAGAATCTCCAGATATTTTTGGCTATTTCTGCTCAGAATATTGTGAAAAATTTGTGGATTTATGCGTAATGGCTTTCAGTGTATCGTAACTAAAAACTTAATATGTTATATAAAAAATAACTTGATAAAAAATGTAACTTGTTAATGTTTACAATTCAAATTCTATTAGATCCATTTATTTGGTAAACAAAACAAGTCATTCATATAATCTACCATAAATCTACTAAAAGACAGAAATTATTTTTCTTAAACTGTATTGTAAGTAAATCATATGAGCGTTTTCATATTAGTCAGTAATATTACTGACATATTACTAAAAACCGAATAAATATAAATTTACACACATTTACTCACAACTAAATAAATAGACTAAATGATGGACTGAAAATCTGCGGATTTCTGCACGCGCAGATTTCGTGTGGGCCTGCATATCGCCCAGCACTATAACAAATACAACTTCTACTGTAAATAATAACCAATTTGTGGTTCCTCAATCCTCACCCCTAATATGTTTTTTTAGTAGATATGACTTGGTTCATATTTATTTATGTCATATATGTTAAATATAAGAACAGAATGATCATATCAGTTATTCTTTTTTTCTGTGCAGTCTTGTGGCTTCAGGGATATAGAGCTTTGTACTGTGTATGATGTGCATAACGATGAAATATTTTTACTGGTCCATAAAGTTGTTATTGACTCGCCTAGCTCAGTTTGTTTGATTTTCCACATTCGCTCTGTTCAGTCCAGACATTATTCATGCAAATGTTGAACTGAACAGCTATTTTGAGAATAGAGATGACCTTTGCCCCTCAGATGGCTTCTGCTCTTTCAACGGTGTCCATCCCAGCAGCAGAAAGAACAGATAACATGCTTTACGCAACACAGCCTTAGGATAGTGTGACTTAATAGATTTTCATATATTCACTGGACCATATCAAATATGTGTGTTGAGTTCACTTATGTAATTCAAAAAATGTGGTACATCACAAATATGCAGTCTTGCTAAATGAAATGTTCATTTAATAGGACTCTGGAATTTTTATAGTGGGTCTTTCAGAGATTTCAGGGCATTTTCACTTCTGAAAAAGGCAGTCTTCTATGTTTTGCTTTCAGTTTCTTGAGGTATTTGTTGAATGTTAAATGCTTGTAATCATATCCACTGAGCACATGTGACGGTGTCACCTGTGAAATTCTGACATGTGATGAAACGCACAGGGTTTATAGGAAAATGTACTGTGGGGGAGCCCTAGAAAGACTTTGATCTCTGACATAATGACTTCCTCTATGGTTTGTCTTTCAACAACTAGCCATGGAAATAACCAGAGATTATTATAATGCTTTTAGAATAACATCACCCTTCTTAAGACATGCCTCTAAGATGTCTACTTAGTTTAAGCCTTGATTGAAAATGCTTTACGGCACACTTTAATGTATGCCAGCAGCTAGTGCTGTGTATTGGCAATTTTCTGGTGATACAATATGCTGCAGCGGTTTAGTATGATATTTTACAATACTTTAAATGTAATAGGACTATATATTGCATTATATCTTAGAACTTCACAGTATACAAGTTTTTAATTAATGAACCAGTCAACAGAAAATGCAGTCCAATCAGTGAGTGTAACGCCACTATTTAGAATTACACTGTTTAGAATATATAGTTTCCATCAAATGAAATAAAATATATCAAACATTGTAAAATCAATACTAGCACAGTTTTCATTGGTTTATACTTGAAATCTTCTGATTTAAAGCAAGCTTTCATATAAAGTACCGTTTAAAAAAAAGTGATGGGACTTGAATGCTGAATCGCAGAGCTTGTGCAAATATTTCCACTTCGCCATGATCAGATGCTGTTTTAGCTTAACTGCGGTTTTCCCATCACTATCATGTTTTGTTGTGAATTTATTTTGTTATTGAAAGGTAGGACATATACGGTAGGGCTGGGAGATAAGTAATCAAAATCGACTTCCAGAACCTATAAATTATCTAATTTTTCCAGGATGATTTTTTTCAATTACGTGTGTAGTCACGTGAGCCTGCTCTGTTAAAGGTTGAGGCTGATTTATACTTCTGTGTTCACTTTGTAGCCACATCTGATCTCTGCTCAAGCAGGACCAGTAGGATCCATTCTTGAGCCATACTTTGCATTAGTTTGTCGATGATTAAAATCTTCGCCAGAGATTCCTTGGGACTGCATATTATCCATTACATCAAAATGGTTATTTACATTAAAATATTTATTTACAGAAGATGCAAGAAATGCACTGTTTAAAATATTATTTACAGGATTTAAATTATTTTTAAAGGTTATTTTGTTTATAAGAGATTGGCATTGAAACATTGAAAAATAGCTTATTTTGTTTCCAAAAGTGCAAGTTATATATATATATATATATATATTTTTTTTTAAAAAGCGAATGTTAGGCAATGTGTGTTTTAATTCCAGTTGTTCCATGATGATGTTCAATAAATAATCATAGATAGTAAATAGTTTGTGTTTCCTTCAATTATTTTGAAATCAGGTAATGCACCATTCATTCAGAAATCTCTCACTTGTAATATGTGAGCACATTTGCTGTACAAAATTTGTCAGCAAACTCTGAGGGCAAACAATATTAAATGTTTAATTAATCAGAATTTTGATTTTAGGCCAAATTGTCCAGCATGTATACACACTTGCAGAATTTACACATTCACTTAAATATCATTCCTCATCAGAGCAGATGTTTTTTTTTATGTTAAGCTTTTTCAGATTCTGTGTGTTTTTCTTATTTTGCGAAAATAAAACTTGCTTCACTCCTTACTAGTGCCTTCTTTAAAGTGGAGGCTAAAATGACTCCCACTGCAGCCAGAGATGATATAATTCTTTCATCCTCCATTGATGGTAGTTAATTAAAATTGAAAATTGCAATGCTAGCATTCACAGTTTAGCAATGCT